TTTTTTTAATCGTGACTTCATAGTGGTTTGTGAAAGCGGACGTATTTCCGGCTGTCTGCGTTCGCAGGCTACGTCTAGCGGAAACTTTTAGCGAAAATGTTATCTCATCCACCTCCCCTTTGCCGACGTACATGTAAACCCTTCTTTGTTAGTAGATTTACAATTTCATCGCCTGGAAAAAATTGCTTTACCCCATAACTTAGCTTACTGTGGTGGTGAAATGAAGGATTACTATCCGAGTGACACTGGCCACATAGAAGGTAAATGGAAAACTCAATTCACTTACACATCGCTTTTTTCAGTAAAAACACCATCATTCATGGCTTCAGGTGACATCCATTTCACTGCAATTTGAGTGTCCCTGTTTCGCCGCAAACCAAAATCAGCGACTTTGACAAGGTTGGTGTCACAGACTACGACATTGCGAGCGGCAAGATCTCGATGAACAATGCCCTTTGCTGATAAGTATTGCTAGACACAAGAAATATCATTAATTAATCACTGAGAATTCTTGGCATGGTAAGAAACTATGGCTGCTTAATACTCTGAATAATACAAAGGTTCCAAAATTATTAACCAACCGATAGAGAAGGCTATTAAGACTTGTATGTTTCCAACAGAGACCGCGCAGTTATCTTCAAAGAAGACTGGGAGAAAGAAAAGAGTGGAAATAGCACGGAGATTTCCAGTGTTCCGTTCTAACCGGGAAAGACGATCACCTTTCTGTCACTTTTGAACTTAGGAGACGTTTGAGAAATAAATACAAGAGACCCCGGGTAAAAAAACAGAGACTTTCCAAGGTGGACGAACATTTTGATTAGAAAGGTAAATGCAAGCGAAGTTTAACTCCGGGGGAGGTACTTCTTTTAATGACCTATGTACGTATGTGCGGCCCTAAAAGGGATGGTTTTCAACCGTTTTGGTCAGAAATAGGGTAACAATTTGGGCCATTTTGGTCTCAAATAGGGTATAGCTTTTGCACTCTACTCTTTATTTGGGTATGTTTTTCTAGAAGCTACTTTTTCATCACAATTTTGTATCCTGCCTAATAAAAGCAAATGATCATTGCCTTTAACATGGGTCTGAACTAGGGAACGCAGGTCTTAAATGGGGTATGGAATTTTTGGTCAGGTCAGAAATAGGGTAGGGGAAAATTGCAGATTTTGGTCTCAAGATAGGGTAAGGGTTTTTAGGAAGCGGGCTGCACACCCCCACCCAAATGTTCTCGGAGTACCCCCCCGGGGGTTAACTCCTTCAAGAAACCTAGATCACTTTGATCACCTCGATCACTTCAGTCCCTTACCATTCCCTGTGCTATTTGCCAGCCGAAGTATATCATGTCCTGGGAAGTCAAAGAATCGTCTTTATCTTGTTTTTCACCCTTCAAGGACTTAGCGCTGTTAATTCTTATGTCAATGCAGCTCTCAGCTTTCGAGAAAGCGACGTTGACTTGGCCAATGTCTTTAGTATCAAGCTTATCCTGCTGAAGAAATCATCGGAAAAACAAGTTAAAATTAAGAATAGGCCATTTGCGAGTTAACTTGTGCCGCTGTTTCAAAACGAGTCTTCGAGCAGAACCTTTCACATGAAAATGAGTTTGATTTGAACGAAAATGAACATGTAGGCGGCGCGCATCTCCATATGAATAGTTTCGCACGAAGACTCCTTTTGACACAGAGGCAAACGTCAACTCAAAAATAGCCCATTAGTTTAGCATTGGAAGAATGATGTATATAAGTGCACTAGTCTCCTTTGAGGCAATTTACTGACTTAATCCGAGGACAAGTGCAGATTGTGCTCGGCAACTTTTGAGCAATTTTTGCGGTTCTACCGACCTCGAGCAAGTCTTGCCTTTCTGAGCAACTTTTGAGCAAAATATAGGTTTAGACCACATATCAAACACGAAAAAGTCAACGATTCAATAGAAAACTTCAATTTATGGGAATAAATTCTTGAATGTTTATCAACTTTTTGAAGTTTGAACACATAACGTGCCACTTGACAACGTTCGGCAAGACGTCAAATTATCCATTCCACAAGACTTAAGGGTGTCCTTAAATTTTGCCCATATTTGCGAGCTACTCTTCAAAGCTAAGTTCCAAGCTACAGTATTTTTCTTGACTGTTGCTATCAATTTTTGTGAAGAACGAGAAATAGAGCTTTTAATCATGACGGGACGCACGGGGCTTCTACTGTAAGTACCGCAGAGAAATGGTAGGAAATTTTCCTAGCATTCCTAGTATACTCTCACTAGCGTTCTTCGTCTTGCGGCCAGGGAAGGCGTCATAATCTGTTTCAGTGACATTAGTGATATTAAATAAAAAATAAACCAGAAAGGGCCGATGGAATATGAGACAAGCTTTAAAAAGAAGTCACGATATTAATAGTGCTTTAAAAGTAAATAGTGCGTTCGAGTCATTCCCGATGCTTTCAAATGA